CCAGAGCAAAGAAGAATGAAGAAAACCAAAATTCATGGAAACAATTAGTCCTAGTGACTGATACACCATCTGATCTGCAGCCTATATGATTATGACACCAGAAGAACTAGATGGTGCCCGGCTACCACTGTCATGCACTTGGAAGTGGATCTATGTAGGAGATCCTTGATAGAGAGGAAGAACAATGTGGAACAAAACTCAAAATCATTTGGAGAAAAGAAAAGGGGGGTTGGGGGGGACCAGGTTTGCTGGTCTGACAGAGCCTGGTGGAACCACCGAGACTATGGTCCCTGGATGCCCTTCAGGTCTGGAATTGAACCCACACTTGTGACTTCCAGCCAAACAAAAGACAGGCATGTGAGTTGAACATTTACCTGACGTAGGTATACTCTTTGGAGAGAACAATCATGGGAGAAAGAAGGGCTGCTTATACACAGGAAGACAGCTCAGGGGGCAGGAGTGCATGGAGGGATGGACACAGGGAAGAGGTAACTATGGGGAAGAAGTGGGAGAGGAGCTGTTGCATTGTGGTAAACTGTGGTCAATGTCATGAGACAAAGTGTATGTGAACTGCTGTATGGAAAGTGAATTTGCTCTGTAAACCTTTACCTAAATCATAATTAAAAAAATTTAAAAAAAGAAAAAAAAAAAGATAGAATGGAGTGTTCTAAACTTGGGAAGAAAACTATAAATCACAGGGTAACCTCAAAGAAAAATGATAAAACCTTCACATCAAAATGAAAAAGAGGACCAGTACAAATATTTAGCAAATACTAAAACAACAGCAATGAAGCAAGTGATAATTCATAAACAAAATGAGCTTAGCATAAAAAATTATATGGAACAAAGAAATCGCCACCATGAAAAAGCACCTAACAAAAATGACAACAAGAAATTCGTATTTGCCGATTATTACATATCTGGCAATGGACTTATCACTAAAATGTATACAATACTTCAACACCTCAACAGCAAACAAATTAATCTAATTGAAAAATGGGCAGAAGACATGAATAGACACTTCACCAAGGAGGATATTCAGGTGGCCAGCAAACACATGAAGAGATGCTCAGGATCACTAGCCATCAGAGAGATGCAAATCAGAACAAGAATGAGATACCGTCTCACCCCAGCACTGATGGCATGGTTCAATGTGACAGAAATTAGTAAATGCTGGCGGGGATGTGGAGAGATTGGGACTCTCATACACTGCTGGTGGGACTCTGAAGTGATACAACCACTGTGGAAAGCAGTATGGTGATTCCTTAGAAAGCTGGAATTGGAGATACCATTTGACCCAGCAATCCCATTACTAGGTATGTATCTTACAGATTTGAGAGCCAGGACAGGAACAGATATATGCACACTCGTGTTCATCACAGCACTATTTACAATAGCAAAAAATGGAAACAACCTACATGCTCATCAGTGAAAGAGTGGATGACCAAACTATGGTACATACACACAACGGAATGCTATACAGCAGTAAGGAATAATGTACAGTCTGCTAAACACCGCATAACATGGATGAACTTGGAGGACATTATGCTGAGTGAAATAAGTCAATCACAGAAGGACAAATACAGTATTCGTTTGTTGTCGTGGAGGGTCAAGGAAAGGTTTATATATAGAGGGAACCTTTCTTTGTTGGTTGCCAAGGGTGGGAGGGCAGAGGAGGGAACAATGCAAAAAAAAAAAATGTATTCACCTATGTCACTTTAGTTTTGGGTATTTTATTGTACATAAATTATATTTCAACAAAAGGCATTAAAAAAAAAAAAAAAGAATAAATGTCTATCATTTTCCCATTCACCTTCCTCCGTAACAACTAAAAAAAAACCATTACTCATCAACACCTCCACTGACTCTGCTGATTCATGTTTTAAAGCCACAGAAGCTTCCGAAATTCATACTAAGTATTGAAAAAAAAAAAAATGCAGAGAATATCTTAGAGAAATTAGAGATGTTTTACTAAGTAAGACTTACTTCATGAACACTATCAAAAATAAGAATTAAGAATCCTGAAAAGTACTTTCTAGACAAGATCACTGTTTTCAAATATTAGGGGGAGAGAAGGAAATGTAAATTGCTAACAGTATACAAGAAGGAGTTCAGCCTCACCAACAGTAAAACGGAAATTAAAAAAAAAAAACACAATTTCATTTATGTAAACTTACAAAGGCTGAAAAACACATCTACACAGTCTGTAAGAAGTATACATATCCAAGGGCACTGCACATATCAAACCCATTGGTATAGATGTCTGGGGCAGGGGGGGATATATGCAGAGTGAAATGAACTCTGAATAGGAAATAACAAAGGAATCTTTATTGAGAGAGGAACCTCTCATGGATGGATGAGGACAGTATGCCACAAACTGAGGCACATAAGTATCTAAGTTCTCTATATTCAAAGTCCATTTACACAAGACAAAAAAAAAAAAAGTAAGTATGTGTGTGTGTGTGTATGTGTATCTGTATATGCAAACTTAATATCATAAACTCATGAACTAATATTCTTATGTTTTATTTATGATAGAATGGAAGAATGGTCAGGGTCCTCACTTGGGGACTCTTCTTCACGAGCAAAGAAAACTCTAAGGGTAAATTATTTGATTTCTTATCAACTTCAACAAAAGCAGGAAATTACAACTGAAAAGAGTAAGGGAGAAAGGAGAAAACGATTTTGCAATCAGCCAACCTAGTAACAGCAAGAAACAACTGAGACAAAAGAGAAAAGAAAACAAGGTGTTAAGAAGTGAGAACGGAGGGAAGGAGAAAAGAAAACGTTTGAAAATCATACCTAAGATTCAAAAAAGCTCAGAAGTCTGGGGTATTTACCGTGACAATAAAAAGCTGAATAAACCTCAGTGACTTCTGAGAATATCACTATATTATGAAACAGAACAATCCCTGAGTTTCTGAGAAAAGGTTAAATTATATTTTTATACTGCTATTTAATAGTAGCAAAATAGAGTTCCTGTACAACTATTTTTATTTCTTTAAAATGGGAGACTCAAACCTTCACTGACACATGTATTTAGATAACCAATAGGTTTTTTTCTCCAGAAGTTCCACCCAGTTTCAATACATTCAGATGGTTGATATCATATTTATAAAACACCTGGATGATTAACTGAATTTTCAATTCCACCTGGTTGCTTTACATTCTATAAAGACAGTCAGAGATATCAACATCAATTCTCTAATCCTTTCCTGAAAAAATATCAAGTTAATTATTACAATGCTATATGGCTTTTTAATTGAGGTTTAATAACCTCTTCATGCACAGAAAACAGAATGATGTTCTTAACAGCTTTTACAACAACACAAATTCCTTTGCTTGAGGCAGATGGTAATTCATACCTGTAATTTTTTTTCATATCGGTTGAACATTAGTGTCACACATTCTTTGATGGCACCTGTTCTTTGAAGAAGTAGTAGTCCTTTGGGGGTGGCAGCAAAATTTAGTAAATCATCTAACAGATTCTCTTCCCAAGCCATACTAAAACAACAGGTAAAGAAAAGATATAATCTTATATAGAGTACTCAAAACGGAAAAGAAAGAAAATGCTTCAGCTTAATATTAGTTAAAGTTACAGAATGCACATTGGCTGCAAATCACTCAATAAATGCTTATAAAACATAAAAGGCATGATTTCTATGCTGGTGAATTATTTTATTCTAACATCTTCTACAATCGTTTTTCTTCATTGACTTGAAGCATTAACAACTTATGTCAGAATTTTTGTTACACCTAGGTTCTTTCATCCATGCCATAAATTCATTCTGTTTTCCTATTCTAACTTTGCTGTGCCTGGCTTCTCCAATCCTAAACTCTATTAAAATTTCTATACTTTCTCTCATTATAATGTATCTGTCTTCTGATTTTCTAAAATTTATCACACATATTATCTTTTTTTATTTTCATAGGTTTTTAATTTATTTTACTTTTGGGGGATCACATCTTTTTTTTTTTTTTTCCCTCAGAACACTTCAATAAAAAAGTCAACAACTTTCTCCATTGGAAAAACGGAAACACTAGGAAACCCCATTAACATAAGGAGATAAAGAGAAAAACAATGAAAATAAAAGTAAACAGAAAACTTAAAAGAAAAAAATCCCACATATATCAGGATCCTCAAATGTAAAAATTACAATCACCTAATAAAATAAAAGAAAAAGAAATACATGTGGATTAACAGACTGGATTAAAGCATAAAATCTATAACTAGGTAGAAGCAAGGGATGAAAAAAAATATATATTATGTTTAACAGATCATAATGATATTCATTCTGTAACTCCTTTTTTTACCAACTCCTATCCAGCCAGGTTGACTATATGACAGATCCAATAATATGTCCACAAAAACTCTAGTAAGAGATTCTTTTCTTAAATGAAAAGGTAAACTACTATGAAAGAAAGCATCTGTCTCTTAGAAAGCAGTTACAAAGTAAAAGTTCACTAGCCACTGTGCAACATTAAGGCAAAAAAGTACACAGTAATGATGACAGAGAACAAGACAAAAGATCTCAAACAGCCTCGATAAGCCAATACACCATTCCGAGACATTGATCTACAAATAGAATTCTTGTTCTATGAGGAAAAATAAAGCAGATTACCAGGCCTGTCTTCCAAGACAGCTTTGGGTGTGTTCAAACAGCCAAACTTTTGGCTAGTAGTCAAACGCTTAATAGAATGGTAGATTTAAATGTTTAACAACTATACTAGAAAAAAAATTACAGCAAACTTTTAGAGAACTATTTGTTGAGCCATTATAGTTTTAAGGAAACGTGAAAAGATCTTCTGGTTTGTAGGATTTTTTTTCAAAGTTAAACTCTGCCTACCTAAAGAAAAAATTCATCTTTAACATTTATAGAATATTCCTTTAAATTCTAACTTGTATCTTATAAACTATGTCAACACTCAATTATAAAATAAGAGAATCCCGGAACATGTCAAGAGAACCTTAATTAAATCAAAATAAATCCTCATTAATATAATTCCCAATCCAATTGATATTTGAAAAGAAAAATGAAGATTCTTTAACTTTGATATATACTTATTTAAATAATTTTCCAGTCCCAAAATCTAATTAAATTATACTATAAACAGTTTGAAAAACCATAATTTAAGTACAAATGGACTTTCTTGACATTTGAAAACATTTTACCTTTGATGAACAGAAATTGTGATATACGACCTTTGTTGACCCTTCGAACAACCTAAGAGTTAGTGGCACCAACCACCTGCACATATAACATTTGACTCTCAAAAAACTTACCTACTAACAGCCTGTTGTTGACTGGAAGTCAACATAAAAACAACATAAAAAGTCTAACACAGCTTTTGCTGTACAATTATTAGGTTTTCACACAAAGACACACATACCCAACAGCTAAGTTTATTAACTGTATGGCATGATGCTAATTTCCTATTCATCCTCACTGCCTTCACACTGAGTAGGCTGAAGAGGAAAGAAGGGGGGCTTGCTGTGCTGTCTCAGGAGTCACAGAGGCAGAAGAGGTGGAGAAGGTGGAAGGGGCAAGAGAGGCAAGCACACTCAGTGTAACTTCACGGAAAAACATCACAATTTCTGTCTGACATTTTTGCTTTTTCATTTCTCTAAAAATGTTTCTATGTGCTACCAATCCTTCTTTGACTGTTGGCTTTAGTTTCAGAGACTGAATCATAGAAGGGTCCATCTCATAAAGAAAGTCATAAGCAGTCTTGAATAATCAGAACCTTTCTGCCAGATCATCTAATGTCAATTTGTTTTCTGGCAATGCTTTTCTGCATCGTTTTCTTCTTCATCTGGCACAGGTTCAAAAGCCTTCATCTCTATCAAGTCATCTTCTGTTAAGTCCTCTGGCATGGTGCCTTCTAGCTCTTGAATTTCTCTAAGATCTGTATCTTTAAAAAATATCTGTGTATAAGTGGACTCGTGTAGCTCAAACTTGTGTTGTTCAAGGGGCAACTGTACATTTGATCCTATATGTATACATTTACCTTCCTGTAAAACGTTTTTGCTCTGATATTCTATTTGCATTCTCATTTTAAACTTACTTTTAATAGCTATAAAAACAGATGACTTTAATTACTTGGACTTACATGTTTTGAGATTGCTGGCTTACTGAAGAAACAGAATCAGAACTCTCTACTGGGGTAGGAATTCTTTCTGATAGCAAACATGTCTAAAAAAACAGCAGAACAGTTTACATTATTCTTGCTCTTACTGACAGCATTATTTATAAAAGCTCTTAAATTAATTTTATTTTTTTTATGTTTAATATAATTACAGTAAAAATTAAATTGCCTTCAAAACTTATTTGTTATAGTTAAATATCATGAGAAACATGTAATAAAACAAGTAATCTGACAAATAAAAATTAGTAATCCACTACATGGTCTGTTGCTATATGCAGTGTAGTAAATTAGTGTGGCTTTTCTACCCATAAGTCTTTGTAAACTCCAAGGTGGGAATTGCTATTAGCAACTGAGGAGATCCTGATTGCTAAAGTCGCCCATCTGGAGTATTTCTGTTGGGAGTGGCACAAAACAGTGTTCTGGGAGGTGCCCACTCTCTCTCAAGTGCTTAGAGTTCTGATGCTGTGATTGGCTAGTTTGACCACTCTGCCGGGCTCAAAAGGAGGCCTCCTAGAGGCAGAACTCTCTCTGACTGCTGGTTGAGGAAGACTGGCTGCTGAAAGAGACACGTGCTGCTGGGAAAGAGATGCAAGAAACATGCATTGCTGAATAAGACACCGAGGGACATGCACTGCTGTGGGAGAGACTGTGATGAGAGACTTGGCTGAGAGACGGTGGGCTGGGAGAGAGCCTGAGCATTTTTCCTGAACTTGAATTGTAGGCTGGTGCTTCCCTAATAAACCTCATAATCTGTGAGTTCTGTGTGGCCACTGCAGTGAATTATCGAACCCAGGAGAGAGGTGGTGGGTGCTATGGGAAGAACGGTTGGAGAAAGGGCTGGGGGGAGGCAGCATGTCTGGCCTCACAGGAATAGGCCTTGGGCTATTGATGGTGATTCCGCCTTTCTCTTGTGGGATTAGAGGAGGTCAGAACATGTGGCCTCTTTGCCCTTTTTGCTCTATATTATGATCTCAAGTATCCATAACAACAGCAACAAAAAAAGTCCAGCTCTCTAAAAATTGCTTAAAAATAACTTCTAAAAGGAGTATTAGTCTACAAAAGGAAAACTTAATTAAAGCCTTGCCTACCAGAAGAAAAGATTTTGCAGCACCTGGTTAGGTCTTACTGTACTACTAGAAGGCAAAGTACGAAAGTCATTCTGTGCCAGATTAAAAAACATTATGTTGCTTTGGGTCTTGTAATGCTAAAGAAGTCATAGTTCCCCAAGAAAATAGTTTATCCAAAGTACAATACTACAACAGTGATTACACTTGAAATAAAGATTTGCACAGAGGAAAAAAAGAAACTTGAAAATACTTACCTTCCTCCATGCCTTTGCTATAGATTCATGCAAACCATAAGGAATTAACACTTGCAAGCCTTCACATGTACCATATATTTGACGGCACACAGAAATAAAAGCTCCTGTAACCACAGGCAACATCTCTGATCCAGAAAAAATAGGAGTATCTTCGTCAAGAAGTTTTTTCGAAAACTGGGCAATTATGTGAGCACCTGTAGGACTAAAAGATGAGACCTAACAGTGATTCCAAAGTTCACATAGTGTCAATGTCATAAGATACTACCAAAAAGGCTAGCATTGCCACAAACCTCACTTGGTGGCCTCCCCTTCAGGCCTCCTCTATCCTTTCTCACACATGTCAGTATTTCTGTTCCTACCAACACACAAATGTCTAAAAATGAGCACAGTTTCAGCAGACTGGAGGAAAGAATATATATATAGGAGAAAAGCAATAGAACTATACACTTTAAAGTTACAGATTCCATAAGACCAGGGCCATATCTAAGTATTCCTGATTCTACAGTAAAATCAATACCATTCTCCATCCCTAGCACTAGTTAACACCTTCTCTGTCCCTTTAACAGCAATAGTCCTCCTACCTAAAAGACTGGAAAAATTTTAATAGTAATAATTTTTAGGTAAAAATATTAACAGATAAGTAATCATTTAGTAAATGCTTATAATATGTCAGACACTGTCCTCAGTATTTTAACAGCATTAATTTAATCTTCACAACAACTCTATGAGGTAGGAAGAGTATTGATCAATTTTTACCCATAAAGGAGTGCATTTGGTTGGTGTAGCTCTTTAAACTCCCCCTTTCTCTATTCTTCATGCCATTGATGGGCTGGAGAAACTATATTATTTTTCTGTCCTTCAATCTTTATTTGGGTAATTGTTTCACCAGGGTATCATTTAACATGTTCCTCTGGTTGCATATAATTTCTAGAAATTCTTAATTAGACCTCAAAAGGTAATTAGATTTAGATAAAATTT